TTACTAAAATGGCTATGATTATCTGTAGATGATTTCATGTAGAATGGGAATTTTAAAATTTTGTTTCTTCATGTAATCATTTTAAAATAAGTAATATAGTTATATGATTCAAAATGATAAAGGTATAGGACACATAATGAAGAACCTCTCTCCTAGGTACTCAGCTATCCTCCATATGGATAGTTGGTCTTACCAATTTCTTGGCTGACACTCCAGAGCTGTTTTATGCATTTATAAGCAGTTACATATATCTTTTCCCTTAACTTTACTAGCATATTATATATACTGCCTTATACCTTGCTTTTTTTCATATAATATTGAATATTGGAAATTATGGCCAAGCATGATGGTGCATGCCTGTAATCCCAGCACTCAGGAGGCTGAGGCAGGAGGATTGCTGTGAGTTTGAGCCCGGACGGGGCTCTATAATGAGTTCAAGGCCAGCCAGAACTACATATAGCAAGACCGTGTCTCAAAAAAAAAAAAGGAAAGGGCCGGGGATTTAGCTCAGTGGTTCCAGCACCTGCCTCGCAAGCGCAAGGTCCCGAGTTCGATCCCTGGTACCCAAAAGAAAAAAAAAAAAGGAAATTATGTTTCACTGTAACATAAAAACTTCCTTGAAAGATTTACTTTGTGGGCCGGGGATTTAGCTCAGTGGTTCCGCCGCCTGCCCCGCAAGTGCGAGGACCCAAGTTCGATCCCCGGTACCAAAAAAAAAAGAAAGATTTACTTTGTGGGGAGAGTGGTGCTAGGTTTTTTAATCCAAGGCCTCACACATGCTAAGCAGTACATGTTCTGCCTTTGAGCTATCCCATTAGCCTGAAGGATTTTTTTTTTCTGAAGGATTTTTTTTATTATTATTATTATTATTTTTTTTTTGGTACCAGGGATTGAACTCGGGTCCTTGCACTTGCGCAGCAGGTGATGAAACTACTGAGCTAAATCCCCGGCCCTGGTATGATTCTTTTAATTCTTTTGGGAAGATACCCAACAGGGGAATAGCTGGGTCAAATGGGACCTCCAGTCCTAGTTCTTTGAGGTATCTCCATACTGATTTCCACAGTGGCTGCACCAGTCTGCACTCCCACCAGCAATGGAGAAGGGTTTTTCTCCCCACACCCCTGCCAGCATTTGTTATTGGTTGATTTCTTGATAGCAGCCATTCTTTCTGGGGTGAAGTGAAATCTCAGTATTGTTTTCATCTGCATCTCTCGAATGACCGGTGATGTTGAACATTTTTTCATGTGTTTATTTGCTGCTTTTACTTCTTTGTCTGAGAAATGTCTGTTCATTTCAGATGCCCATTTTTTAATTGGTTCTTTGAATTTGGGGGGTCTGATTTTTTTCAGTTCTTTATGTATTCTAGGTAGTAGTCCTTTGCCAAAACTCAGAACTTTTAAAAACAAGAAAATAGGGAGACAGAGTGGCGTGTGCCTGTAATCCCAACACCTGGGAGGCTGAGCCAGGAGGATTGCTATGAGTTTGAGGGCAGCCTGGGCTCCACAGTGAGTTCAAAGCCACCCTAAACTACACATAGCAAGACCCTGTTCTCACAATGCCAAATCAGTCATCAATCCAAGAACATACAGGCACACATTCCATTACTCATCAGAGTGACGAATATTGCACATTGTATAGCTTCATTAGAAAACTTCACTGGAAATTCACAAGAGTATGAGAGGGAAGAAGGCAAAGAATTTCTGTAGAAATAGTTTGGCCTTGCAGACCTCCTAAGGTTTTTGTGGAACCATTCTTGTTTGGTTTGTTTTGTTTGTTTTGTTTTGTTTTGTTGAGACAGGGTCTCACTGTGTAATTCAGGCAGCCCTTGGACTCACTGTGTAGTCCAGGGTGGCCTGGAACTCACAGCAATCCTCCTGCCTCAGCCTCCCAAGAGCTGGGATTACAGGTGTGCGCCACCACACCAGGCTAGGTTCTTGGGGAACCTTTAACTTTGCCTGATCAAACTTTTTAAGAACTTTTGATGGGCTGGCCTGTAACCTCAGCACTCAGGAGGCTGAAAACAAGAGGACCACTGGAGTTCGAGGCCAGCCTGGGCAACATAATGAGTTCTAGACCAGCTTAACCTACATAGTCAAAAAACAAACAAAAAGAACTGTTGATAGTAAGGTCTTATAAGCCATTGTTATAAGATTTTGAAAAGATGATTCATAATGTGATTTAGGTTTTTATAGGATCGCTTTGGCTGCTGAGTGAAGAGAAGACTATAAGGACATCAGTTAAGATGCTGCAGGGCTGGGGATTTAGCTCCATGGTTTCGCCGCCTGCTACGCAAGCGCAAGGACCTGAGTTCGATCCCTGATACCAAAAAAAAAAAGGTGTTTTGATAGTAATCCAGGCCAGAAATGATGGTTTAGACTATGTAGTAGTAATGGAGGGATTAAGAAGTAGTCCGAGGGCCAGGGATTTAGCTCAGTGGTGTGGACGCCTTCCTGGCAAGCTCAAGGTCCTGAGTTCGATCCCTAACACACACACAAAAAAATGTAGTCCAATTTGGCATGTACAGAAAGTCCTCAACTTAGTTTAACTTGAGAATTTTTGACACACAAAAATTCAGTAGAAGCCATTTTTTGAATTTTGAATTTTGATCCCTCCACCACCACCCAGGGCTAGTGATACAGATATGATACTCTTTTCTGATGCTGGGCAGAAGAAGCAGCAAGCTTCAATTCCTGGTCAGCCACAAGATCCTGAGGGTAAACAACCGATACTAAGTGCACTATGTTGCTAAGCTTTGATGTTCAGTAGGTTAGATGTACTAATTACAGATGTATCAGTTACATTTTCAACTTAGAATAATTTTGAGTTCTGTATATAGTCTAGATTCTTTATCAGATAGATAATTTGCAAGTATTTTCCTCCATTCCATGAGTTGCTTCTACTCTCTTGATAGCATCTTTTGATGCTCAAAAGTTGTTAATTTTGCAATGGCACTGTGCCTGCCTCTCAAGCACAAGTTCCTGAGCTCGATCCCCAGTACCCAAACAAACAAAAGTTTTTAATTTTGATGAAATTCAGTTTATCTGGGTCTTTTCTTTTGTTGCCTGTGTTTTTTCCTTTCATATTTGAATCTTTCTTCCTGTCTTTCTTGGGAGTGGGGGGTTTTAAGCAATTTATGTACTTGTTATGCTATAGATTGCCTTCCATTTATTTTCATAAATCTTTTTCTCATGGTGATTTAAGAGAAACTATCTTCAAGCCAGTATAAATATTCCATAAATATCTGGCCAGTTGGTTTACATCTGCTGCACAATACCTCACATCTTTCAGCAAGAAAACACTGAATATGAAGAGTAAAGACATAACCAACTGGGTACATGAGAATCTGCTCTCAGTTTTTCTTTGAGGTGAGAGCACCACACACCTGTTCAATTAAGGAAACTACCCTTAAAATTCAGGACCCTTTTACATTTTTAAGTAGTAATTAGATATTGAACCCAGGCTCTAGACCACTTTAGCCGCTGATATGGCTCTGAACAGTAAAGGTACATGTCCAGCTTATGCCATGAATTCCTGTGGAGTGGGTTCCAGCAGTTCAAGCTCCTTCCCATTGGTTCTCACAAAGTGTGCTTCTCTGGGTGGGGCAGGCTGACGCTTTACTTGAACCCAGGTACCTTTCTCTTCAGCTTCCTTCTTTTTCATATCATTTTCCTTCGCGTGTTTCAGGAAGCTATCTCAGGTCTCACAGTACTTAATATGCTCAGTATGCTTTTAATTCTCTTGGCAAGAATCTTGCCCCTAACTTTCTTGTTTACAACAATGTCGGCAGCATGCTGGGTAACACTATACACTCTTCCCATTTAGCCATAGTAACATTTGTGTGGCATTCCTTTTTGAAAATACCCATTCCCTTAATGTCTACAGTATCACCCTTTTTGTAGTTTTGCATATATGTGGCCAAAGGAACAATCCTATGTTTTCTTTTTTGGTACCAGGGATCGAACTCAGGACCTTGCACTTGCAAGGCAGGCATGGTGCCACAGAGCTAAATCCCTGGCCCTATCCTATGTTTTCTAAAAGGCCTAGAGAACATATACCAGCTTCCTCTCCTCTTTTCTTTTGTGTTCATCGTTTTGGTAAGTCACTGGAAGATGACAAATCCGGCTGAAAGGAAGGTCATACTTGAGATTTGTCATATGTTTTCTTCTATGAGTTTTATAGTTTCAGCTTTTAAGTTTAGGTCTTTGGTCTATTTTGAGTTATTTTTGTATGCTATGTTAAGGTAAGGATCCAACTTCATTCTTTCAGTTGTAGGTAACCAGTTTTCCCAGTATCATTTGTTGAAGAATCTGTTTCCCTAATGAATAATTTGGGCAAACAAGAGTTTGAAGATCAATTGAACAAATATGTAAGAGTTTATTTCTGGACTTGCTATTCCATTGGTATATATGTCTGTCAGTATGCCAGTACTGCACTCTTTTAATTACTGTGGCTTTATAATAAGCTTTTGTTTTTGTTTTTTGCAACCAGGGATCAAACTCAGGACCTTGCACTTGCAAGGCGGGTGGCAGAACCACTAAACTAAATCCCCGGCCCTATAATAAGTTTTAAAATCAGGAAATGTTGAGTCTTCCAGCTTTCTTCATCTTTTTCAGTATTATTTTGGCTATCTGAGGTCCTTTGAGATTCCATATGAATTCCAGGATGGATTTTTCTATTTCTGCTAAAAATATGGATTTTGATAGGGATTATATTGAATCTGTGTTCTACTTTGAGTAGTTTTGTCATCTTAACAATATTGGTTTTCTGATCTTTTTTGTTTTGTTCTTTTGAGACAGATTCTGGCTATATAATTCAGGGTTGCCTTGAACTCACTATGTAGCCCAGGCTCACCTCGAGCTCCTGGTGATCCTCCTGCCTCAGCCTCCCCAGTTCAAGAACTACAGGCATTTGCCACCATACCCACCAGTCTTCTGATTTTTAACATAGGACATTTTCCATTTATTTAGTTCTTTAATTTCTTTTTTTTTTTTTGGTAACAGGGATCAAACTCGGGACCTTGCACAGAACCACTGAACTAAATCCCCGGTCCAGTTCTTTAATTTCTTTTAGCAGTATGTATGTAGTTTTCAGTGTACAAATTTTGTGCTTCCTTGATTAATTGCTTCTTATTGTACTCTTTTTGCTTCTATCATAAATAAAATTATTTTCTTTAGTTCCTTTTTGGATTTTTCATTGAAAGTATATAGAAATATAACTGAATTTTGTGTGATATTTTTTTTTTTGTCCTGCAGCTTTGCTGACTT